CTGAAAATGAAAATCAGTCTCATTCCATACATAGAAAATAGCCAAAAAATTCTATGTGTGTGCATATATGTATGTATAGCTCTTGTCACTGCCCCCGGATGGCTAGTGGCTCACTATTGCTCTGGGAGGCCGAGGCGGGCGGATAGTTTGAGCTCAGGAGTTCAAGACCAGCCTGAGCAAGAGCGAGACCCTGTCTTTACTAAAAATAGAAAGAAATTGGCCAAACAACTAAAAAATAGAAAAAATTAGCCAGGCATGGTGGCGCATGTCTGTAGTCCCAGCTACCTGGGAGGCTGAGGCAGGAGGATTGCTTGAGCCCAGGAGTTTGAGGTTGCTGTGAGCTAGGCCGACGTCACAGCGCTCTAGCCCAGGCAAGAGAGTGAGACTCTGTCTCAAAAAAATAAACAATAAAATAAAATAAAATATTTCCAGCAAGAGAAAAGTGTTGACGACATACCTCAGCCAATGGAAGCGTTTACCTTGGACGCCTCTTTTCCTTGAGGGGCTTACTGGATTCAAATTAGTGTACAACTTTTTAGCTCTGTGACATAGAACTAATTGGTTGCTTGACCGCTCTTTGTTGTACTTGTTCATAAACAGTATTTCCCTGTAGGATTGTTGTGAGGGTTCAAAGGACAAAAGTGATTTAAAAAGGGACCAGCACAGCACAATCCAAATGTTATGCAACAGTCAGGACTATCGAAGAGAAATACCCACTTGTCTTGCGTGTTTATTTAATGCAGAGTCTGCATATCACCTAAAGTGATCCCTCTTTTGGGAGCATCCCAAATTTTCAAAACGGCCATCATGGAGTGGGGTGTCTGGCTAGGCCGTGGAGAGATCATGGAGAATTATATGCAAAGCAGGACCCGGACAAATGTGCCCATACGTCCCTGAAGGCGTGGAGACTGGAAAGAAGAGAGAGGCAGACCCGTGTGTTTGCCGCGTTGCTGTGCGCAGGAGCAACAAGTCCGGGGGACCCATGTGTGGGGAGGGACAGGCAATGTCGAGGGGTCGGGAGAAGCAAGTCACATACAGCCACAGCCTGTCCTCTGCGCACAACTCGCTTGCGACGCTAACCCGTTGGCGCCAACGCAGGACATGAGCACGAGGCCGGGGTTGCACACGGGCCCCGGGACAGGCTAAGCGGACGACAATGGCGTGGGTTGGTGGTGGAGAGACAGCCAGGATCCCGGGATTCCCGGAACGCCCAAGATCGCGGGTGGCAGGGAACCTCGGGGAAATTGGGAAAGGCTGGCAGGACAGCAGGGACTCGGTGTACAGCTAGGCGCACAGTCCCTCCCACGCCAGCGGGCGCCAAAGGGTTGGATCTGGGATCTTGCGCCCGGCCCTCCCGCTGCGCACAGCCCGGCCCAGGACCGCGGGGCGGGTGCAAAGGGGGCGGGGCCTCGGCGCCCGGGGCCTCCCCGGACTATAAAGGGGACCGCGGGCTCCTGGGCTCCACCGCGCCTTCCACCTCCACTAAGCCTGAACGCCTCTCGCTTGGGAAGTGCAGCCTCACCTCGGCTCGAAATGGACCCCAACTGCTCCTGCGCCACTGGTAAGGGACGCCGACTTTCTCGTCCTTAGAGCACCCATTTCCCGGCTACAGGCAGGACAGATGGTCCTGGGAGCGGAGGTCTCAATTTGAGTTCTGGCTGAAGTGGATTCCTTTAGTATGTAGTTCTAGTGCTTTCCCTCTTGCCAAGCGCCTTCAGCACCCCTGAGAGCATTGCCGTTCTCCCAGTGCTTCGCGTTTCACAGACGAGAGGACTCAGGCTTGTACCGTCCTGCTCCATATCAAGTGGTCCGGGACTGCTAGGCTGAGCCCCAGTACTCTGTCCAGCATTCGAGTTGTCTTGGCTGATTGGGAGACAGGGGATATTGCCTTTTCAGGATTAAGAACATAACGGCCGTCCTAGCCTGTGGGGACAGAGTGAGGTTACACTTCATTGTGCTGTGAGTGGGACAGGAGCAGCCAGGTCTAGCCTTGTGCTCACCTGGAGCATTTGTTGACCAGCTATCACGTTATTGCCCACTGCCTTTCTCTTTTCCCTACAGGTGGCTCCTGCGCCTGCGCTGGCGCTTGCACATGCAAAGAGTGCAAATGCACGTCCTGCAAGAAGAGTGAGTGTGGGGCCTTCCCTGGGAAGCTGGGGGCTGGGCTGAGTCAGAGGAGGGGACCCAGAGCTCAGCAGACAGGAGCATGCCACTGACCAGCTTCCCCGCATCCCCTTCCCCTAGAACTGATTCAGGAAAAACATCAGACATGGTTGATTTGCAGCCTTCATTCTTAGAATAGGGAAACTGAGGCCAAGAGAGTGCACCAGCCTGCCAAGCACAGACTGATACTTGAGGACTTTCCTCACTCAAGTGTGTGGTTCTGGGAGGCTGGCTTTCCATTGCCCACCTAGGCCCTGTCACTGAGTTTCCAGTCTCATGCCCTGTCCTGGGCTCAGGCAGGGCTGGACATCTTTTGCATAGGAAGATCCTCCCCCATCCCAGAGATCCACCAGTTGTCTCCTGATAGAGTATGCCATCCTGAACTAAAGGCCATGGAGGGCTGGGGACAGATCTTGTGCCAGGCCTGCCATTGGGGTAGGGAGGTGTCTGGTCAGGTCTGCTCTGACCTCTCACTGTCCCCTTTCTTCCCCAGGCTGCTGCTCCTGCTGCCCCGTGGGCTGTGCCAAGTGTGCCCAGGGCTGCATCTGCAAAGGGGCATCGAGCAAGTGCAGCTGCTGCGCCTGACGGCGGGAGAGCCCTGCTCCTCGATGTAAATAGAAAAACGTGTACAAACCTGGATTTCTTTCATACCGCCCTGACCCATTTCTTATGTTTCTTTTTATTATGAAAAATGTGAACAATAAAAAAAAAAGTTATTGTCCTGACTCTGGCTCTTGTGTCCTTTGTATGCCTGGGAAATAAGGGACCCCATGCCTAATGGAACTGGGATGGAGGATTGCATTGAGAGTCTAGAGACCTGGGTGGCGGGACCGTGTCTTGTCATCTTAGACCCTGAGTGTCTTAAGCCAAATCAGGGTACCTGTCTCAGGTTACTTTTTCAGCTAAATTGTGAGAGAATTATGCCGTATGAAATAAGGTCATGGGAATCTGTCACAGACCTACATTGGGTAAGACAAAATGAATTACTATGAAAGAAATAAACACCAAATCCATTTTTACACACAACAGCAAAATTTCAATAAATACATAAAAAATAAAATAATGAAATATACCAAAGAATTGCAAACACTACACATTTGATCCAGGGTGTGCACTGCAGACCGGAAACAGTTTGCAGACTGGCCCCAGTGTGTGGATCACACGCCTTCAACAGCACCAACCTGGACATCCCCACAAGGAATCATCAGTTTTCGCTTGCCCAGTGTCACTGATGGGACTCTTGCTACCCCTGAGAGCTCCCTGTTGTGATTTTCTCCTGAATATTGGAAGCTTCTCCCGAAGTCAGGCTGAAATCTGCCCCTCCTTCAAATTCCAGCCCCGGTTACTTCAATCCAGTGGGGTGACCAGAGATGTGGAGGGAATTGGCCAGCAATGTTCCTGCAAGGTGGCGTGTAGACAGGAACTGGTTCTAGATGAAGTACTCTCGGCTATGCAGAGGTGCGTAGGCACAGATCGTGCAGTTTCTAAGGTGTGTGGTGTTCACTAGGAAAGAGAAAGGCCCTGGGCAACTTGCAATTAACAGCAACACTTAGTGCCTCTGGCTCTTTGCTGTAGGAATTGCTATTTGATGTTCAAAGGGGAAGATGAGTCACTTGGCCCAGGCGTCAGGACCACGCTTGCCTGCAGGTGTTCTCTGCAAAGACAGTTTCAGAAGGTAGCTGGGCCAAGAGCATGGGATTTGGTGCCAGCCAGTCCTGGCTCACAGCCCACTACACCACCTACTGGCCATGTGGCTGCCATCCGCTCAACCTCTCTGAGTCCCTAGTTTTTCATTTTTAGAAAGGAGATTAAATCACTAGGTAGGGATTAAATATAATAGTGGCCTGTTACCTGGCTAGGGCTTAATAACAGTGGTGTTATAGTTGTTCAGTCCACATGAACCTTCTGGAGAGAGAATCCCATCAGGTCCCATCATGCTCCTTGGGAAAGGCCCATCTGCAGGGAAGCATTACTCTGGATTGGAAGTTGGAGATGGGACTGGCATCTTCCTGATCTGCTTTCAAGGGCCTGTAGACGAGCTCTTGCACAAAACCCTGCAGGATAACACACTGCCCCAGCATTTGGACAGAGAAAATGTCTTTCCTCCCCTTTAAGTCGTTTGCTCTTCACACAAACCAGAGAGACATATCAAGGTGCAGAGGCTGGTGAGAGTGTGCCACTTCCAGAGGGGTTAAGACCTTCCCAAGCTCACACAGCTCGGAAGTACAGGTATGAATGAACCTGTGCTACAACTGTCCTGGTGCCACGGCCACTGTAGCAGATCGTGGTGTCACTGGATGCTAAGATCTCCCTTCCGTGGTCAGAGCTGGGAGGGCCCTTGGTTAGTTAGCCCAATTGTGCCCCTCGCTTGACAGCTGGGAAACCGAAGCCCAGAGAGATCACAGAGCTGTACAGACGGATCTGACTGCCAGCTCGGTGCTCTTCCCATTCCGCCTCTGTGGCAGAATTCAGCGTCCTCGACCTTAAAATGAAAGTGACACATGATCGTGGTTGAGGGCGAGATGCCTCGGTCAGACTACATGTGTATATATATCCCAGCGGTGTCACTTGTACCTGGGTGACCTAACTTCTCTGTGTTTCAATCTCCTCTATGATAAAAGGGATATAATGTAGTCATCAGCTGCATAAGGAAATTTTGGTCAACAATGAAGCCCCCATATATAACATTGGTCCCATAAGGTTATAACATGGTATTTTTACTGTTCCTTTTCTCTGTTTAGATAAACAAACACCTACCATTGTGCTACCATCGCCTACAGTAACATGCAGTACAGGTTTGTAGCCCAGGAGCAAGAGGCCACATTGTATAGCATAGGCATGTAGTAAGTTACACCACCGAGGTTTGTGTGAGTACGCTCTGTGATGTTTGAACAATGACAAACTTGCCTAACAACACTTTCTCATACAACATCCCATCATTAATCAATGTATAACTGTCATAGAGTGTGACTCACAGAAATAAATGATTTAATGCATGCAAAGAACTTAGAACAGTGCTTCTCGATGACAAGAGGGCTATAATATTAGCTATTATGTTGTTATTATTAATATTATTCATAGCTGCTGTGGCCTAAGTGCTGTGTCCCTCCAAAATCCACATGTTGAAACCTAATTCCCAATGTGTTGCTATTAAGAGGTGGGGCATTGGGAGGTGCCTAGATTAAGAGGGTGAAGCCCTCGTGAGTGGGATTAGTGCCCTGATAAAAGAGGCCTGAGGGAGCTAGTTCACCCCTCCCATCATGTGAAGACCCAGCAAGAGGGGCATATCTACGAGGAACGCTGCCCTCACACGGCACCAAATATGTTGGTGCCTTGACCTTGGACTTCTATGCTTGAAGACATGTGCAATAAATTTCCGTCGTTCATAAATTATTCCATCTAAAGTATGTTGTTATAACAGCCTACGTGGCCTGAGACAATAGCACAGTTAACATTTTTACCCCAGACAAATCAGTCATGCCTGGTGTGTCTTGCTGTGTGTCCTATGTCTTTCTCATCAGCCACATCAACATGTGACCTGTGACCCAAAGAGGGTCCTGCCTCTTCTCACAAAATAGGCACTGACACCAGAAATATGAAGCCATGAGCAAGACTGTCTCTGTCCTCACAACAGGTACAGAAGGATACCCGCCATTTCTGCTACCACCTGCACTGGTATGTTAGCTAATGTTTTTTTAAAAATGATTCATATTTACTTAGATATATTTATATAAAAAGCAAACTTGTTACCACTACTGAGAAGAGAATCAATTTTATTTCCAAACATAGAAGGTAGACATAAAATTATATATATGTGTACACCTGTATTCCTCCCTTCAGCATCACTTTTTCTGCTCCCAGGATTGACCTAGATGTTCGCTATTGTTTTAAAGATTTCAAGCAGTAGAGAGGTGTGGAAGACGTACCCAAGCTAAAGGGAAGCTTCATCATTGACCTCTTTCCCTTGGGAAGCCGACAGAATTCAGATCCTGCAGTACCTCTAGTCCTCTGACCCTGGGCTAGTGACTTAAATTCCTTGTATTGTAGTTGTCCGATTAGTAAAACGGGTTCATAAATAGTATTTCCCTTTAGGGTTGTTGTGAGGGTTCAAAGATGGAACGTGGTTAAACAGGGCCTAGCAGACTAGACGTTACAGACAGGAATAGGAATATCGAAGGGAAAATAACCACCTTTCTTGCTTTCCCATTTAATGCAGGGTTTGTATATCACCTAAATGATGCCTCTGCTGAGGGCATCCTACTATTTTGAAATTGTCGTGCTGTAGTGGGTGGGCGGGCCAGGCTATGGGGACACCCTGTAGAGTATTATGCAAAGGACGACCCAGACCCAGATGTGCCCACCCATCCCCCTCCGGCATGGAGAATGGAAGGGAGGGAGGCAGAGCCCTGTGTCCCCCTGTTGCTGTGTGCAGAAGGAACGTGGCCAAAGGTCTGAGTTGGGGCCAGGGACAGGCAGTGTGAGAGATGCAAAGGTCACATCCACGGCTTCTGTTCTGCACCCAGCTCCCTCGCTGCGCTCCTCGCTGTCATCGATCTAGGGACGTGAGCACGAGGCTGGGGTTGCACACGGAGTCCGGGAAAGGCCAAGGACAACGGTGGGGGTTGAAGGTGGGAACACCATTACTACCAGGGGCCGGGGCGGCAGGCAATCTCGGGGAAATTAGGAAGGGCCGGCTGGACAGCAGGGACGCGGTTTATTTGCTGGAGCACAGCCCCTCCCGCGGGAGCGGACGCCAGCCGGGAGGTCCCCACGGTGCACACTGAGCCAAGACCTTGGGGATGCTGCGCCCGGCCCGCCTGCTGCGCACGGCCGGGCCCAGGACCGCGGCGGGGCGGGTGCAAGGGGGCGGGGCCTCTGCGCACGGGGCCTTCCCGGACTATAAAGGGAACCTCCGGCTCCTGGGCTCCACCGCGCCTTCCCCCTGCCCCACCGACCCTTCGCCTCTCGCTTGGGAACTGCAGCCTCCCTCATCTCGGCTCGAAATGGACCCCAACTGCTCCTGCGCCCCAGGTAAGGGACGCCGGGCTCTGCTCTTTGTGATGCCCATTTTCCAGCTGCAGAACACACTGTCTCTGGGTTTCAGGAGGTCCCATTTTTAGTTCTGAACTGAAGTGGACCCCTTTACTTCATCCAGCGCTTTCTTCCTGGCCAGGCTAGGAGAGCATTTCCATCCTGCCTACGTGCCTCTCAAGAGCGGAGAGGACCGAGGCTCCAGGCTGACCTGCTCCGCATCGCCCACTTGGTCCGGGAGCTGCCATCTGGGCCCCAGTTCGCTGTCCAGGCTCTGAGCAGGCAGGATGGACGGAAGGCAGGGGACATCGCCGCTTCAGTCTTCCTGGGCTGTGTCTGCAGCCTGGGCCCTTCCCTGTGGGGCGAAAACAGGAGGGCACTTGGTCTTCACAGCATGAAAGGAGAGAAGATGGGGCTTCTCTTCCTCTGCCCTGAGTGGCAGAGGAGCTCTGAGGGCTGGCGCTGCGCAGAGGAGGGGGCACTGGAGAGTTGTTGCCCGACTGCTGTGCCTTGTGCCTCTCACTCAGTGCTCACTGCCTGTCATTGTCTTCCTTGCAGGTGGCTCCTGCGCCTGTGCTGGAGCCTGCAAATGCAAAGACTGCAAATGCACGTCCTGCAAGAAGAGTGAGTGTGGGGCCTTCCCTGGGAAGCTGGGGGCTGGGCTGGGTCAGAGGAGGGGACCCAGAGCTCAGCAGGCAGGGGCAAGCCAATGACCAGCTTCCCTACATCCCCTCCCCTCAGCACCTGATTCAGAATCAAAGCTCAAAGAGCCATAGAAATGGATGCGTTCCAGCCTCTCGTTTTAGAACTGGGAAACTGAGGCCCAGAGAGGCCATCAGCTAATGTCAGGGACTAAGCCAGAACTTGAACCTCGGTCTCCTGATTCCTGATGCAGCCTTCTTAATCCTCGTGGGTCCTCGAGCAGTTAGTGCACATGATTTGGGGACCACACATGGTTTCTGACCACATGTCAGAAGCATGCAGCTGTTTCCTGTTCAGGCAGCCCAGCGTTTCCCTGGCCCTCTCTGGAACTGCTTCATCAGAGGTTTGCCCTTGTCTGTTTCTTAAAGAGTTTCCTTACTTTGGCATATGGTTCTGGGAGACTGGCCTTCCTTTGTCCCCGAAGACCACTGCCTCTCCAGTCTTCTGCCCTGTCCTTTGCTCAGCTTTTGCATGGGAAGACCGTCACCCTAAAGATCCAGCAGCTGTCTCTGGATGGAGCATGCCATCCTGAACTAAGGGTCCTCCAGGGCTGGGGGCAGAGCTGGTGCCAGGCCTGCAGTTGAGGCAAGAGGTGCCTGGTCAAGTCCCCTCTGACCTCTCCCTCCCCCCTTTCTTCCCCAGGCTGCTGCTCCTGCTGCCCCGTGGGCTGTGCCAAGTGTGCCCAGGGCTGCGTCTGCAAAGGGGCATCGAACAAGTGCAGCTGCTGTGCCTGATGCCAGGAGGGCCCTGCTCCAAGATGTAAATAGAGCCACCTGTGCAAACCTGGATGTTCTTTTCATACTGCCCTGACCCGTTTGCTACATTCCTTTTTCTATGAAACATATGAATGACAATAAACTCATCTAGACTATTCTGGCTCCTAGTGCCTAGTTTGGTGTGGGGTACATGGCACTTGGATCTAGCTGGGTTGTAGAGGAACCAGGTTGAAGGAGGCTGGGGAGGGGGGATAACAGAAGTGGGGGTCGGGTGCAAGGCGTCCTGCAGTCCTGCCTGGCCTCACCTCTCCTTTGTGAGCTATGGCAGAGGGTTTACTCTGCCACCTTCTAGAAACAGTTAATCGGTGGTCCCTGTCCCTTTCGAGTATCTGTGTCACACTCAACAGCCACCTATGGTGCACCTACTGCATACATAGTTAGGCATGGAGTTCTTGGTGCTCAGGGGAACACGGAGTTCACAGACTGCTGGGGGGAGACAGATAATTATGGAACAGGAAGTCTCATAAAAATGAAATACAGCTGTGATCGAGATGTACCTGTGTACCCGGTGAACCTGAATGATGAGCCTTTTCCACTGAGACCTGGGAGCTGCGTTCCTGCCAGAGAGCGTGGCTTGGCAGAGGCCTGGAGTGGGCAAGAGCTTGCTGTGTGCTCAGGGAACAGAAAGAAGGCCAGTGCGTGCTCATGTGTGAGGGGAGAAGCCTGTGTTCCCTTTGGAGAGGGGAGGGCAGAGACCTCGTGCCTCATCCGCCTGACGGACTCCCATCCTGGCTGCACTGCTGAATCCTTGGAGAAAAAAATGCTCAAGCCAGCATCCCCCTTCCCCCTCTTTCAGCACCCATTCTGAATTTTTTAGGTCTAAGATGGGCCCAGGGAACCTACATTTTTAATAAGTACCTAAATTTGCCACTCACTGAAGCAGTCACATGGAATCATTTGGTGAAATAGAATGGATTCTGCCATTTCCTCTCTGGTCTGAAGACCAGGAACTATTTTCTACCCCAGTTGGTATTTGGAGCAACTCCCCAACATGTGGCTGCCTGTACTGGTGGCCGAGGGAACCCGGAGGTGTCCAGCTCCTGTCTGGCTGTGGAGGGAGAGGCAGGCAGTCCTCACCACCCAGGGTGTTGCAAGAGTCCTCGTGTAGACCAAACAGGGCTCGGAGGGCAGGTCCGAGCCTCCACAGGGGCTCACGCTATGGGAACACCACCCCAGTGTGGGGGGCTGGTGTCCAAGCTGCTGTTTCCTGGGTTGGGGGGAGAGTCTGGCAGAGACTTTGCAGGGCATGAGCTGGGGTGTGATGGGGTCACTACTCTACTTGTCTTAGATTTGGTCTAGAAGCCCTGGTGCCAAAGTCACAAACACACCCAGCCGTTTGCTCTTTCACAACTCTGTTTGGAGAAATTGCAGCTGCCAAACCTCTCAGGGGACGGGTACACGATGTTTTCACCAGGCCCTGACAAACACGATCATTCGACTTGCAGCTTTTTATTTTCCAAGTCGCGTGTGAGGTGGCATCCTTGTTCCATCCCTCACCCCGGCCCTGAGCCCCATCTTCCATGGGGCGTGGGGTGGGTGTGACCACGGTGGACATCTGTTGGAGAGATTAATTTATAGTAATTGAAAAAATATTGACGTGGCTGTTATTGGAACGCCTTGTTTAATTCCAGAAGTTCCAGTGCCAAGGGCACGATCGGGAAACAGTTTGCTAAAGCAGTTAAGACGGTCAGCTCTGGAGCCAGGCCGCTTGGCTAGAGCCACGGTTCCACTACTTAGGCCAGTTATGTGGCCTCTCTGTGCCTCACATTTCTCATCTGTGACGTGAGGACAATAATGGTGCCTGCCCACGGGGTTGTTGTGAGGTCGAATGTGTCTAGCATGGTCCCAGGCACACATCGAGTGCTCAGTACGTGCTACCCTCCTCTGGGCCAGGTGCAGTGCCTAACAATCAGTAGGTGATCCATAAATGCTCTCTGCTTAATTCAATGAGCACTTATTGGACCCCATACTGTATGTACATCATTGTGCTGGGCATAGAGAGGGACAATAATATAAAAATAAGAGCCAACCCCTTTGCTGGACTTACTCAAGTCCCTGTTGAGTTCAGGGAGCAATTATTTACCATTTCAGGATGGAGGGTGGAGGGCAGTCTGGAAAATACCCAACACGCCCACACATAGGCTGTCTCCCATCAATACAGGCCATGTGTGTCTCTTCCTTGTACTCTGGAAGAATTGAACCACTCTAGAGATGAGTTCAGCTTACAGGGTTGGAAGGAGGAAGGGAAAGGGTCAGGCATGACGGTGGAAGCCCTGGGTGGGTGGGGGGAAGAACAAGGAGGTACCAAAGGCATTGGAGGCCTCTCAGCAGGTGTGGCTGAGCAAGTCTGCTCAGAGGCCCCCGAGGAGTGGAGGTGGGGAGAGAATCTGAATCACACACGTGTATGTGCCCTGGGATGCTCACCTGGCTCCACCCCTGGCATCACCATACTTGCTGAGCTGCCCTTCCAGGGTGATCCCTGGGGCCGCCCCTGGCTGGCTGAAGGCTCATATCCACCTCCTGTCCCAGACAAAGCCATGAAGTCAGCAAGCCCGGCCTGGGTTCCCCCTATGCCCCTCTACCATTCCCAGCCCCTTCTGGATCCTCCCCATCCCCTGCAGACCCCAGCAGCGGTTTGGCCCCGCAACTCCTCTATTTAGCAGGGAGTGGGGACTTGGGGCATGCTGTAAGGGTGGAATGGTATTTCGCCTCTCAGGGCTCCTCTGAGCCTCTGCCTCTGCCTGGACAGACTCGGTGATTCTCGAGTTCTCAAGGGAGGAAGCTGAGGCGAGGCTGGAAGCTGGTGCTGCCAGCGAGGCCTGGGTAACAGGAAGGACTCGACGGGTGAGTCCCCTGGGGATTCCAGACGTGACCTTGCAAGGCTGGGGGATGGATCTGGGCCCCATCAGCAGCCCCCCTGGCCTGCCCTGTATATCATTTCCATCCTGGGGGTGATGGTACCCCACAAAACCCAAGCTGGGCTAAGCCAGAACCTATACCAGTAGATCAGTGATCTTGTATCTCCCAACCCTGGAGAGTTTGCCAGTGTCAATGGAAAAGAACCCAAACTCTGTAAAATAGTATAAAGAGGTTTATTCTGAGCCGAATGTGTGTAACCATGGCCTGGAGAGCCACGCCCAAGAAGTCTTGAGCAAGTGGTTCCTCTGTGGTTAGGTTAGACTTTGGTTTTATACATTTTAGGGAGACAGGAATTGCACATAAAATCATACATCAAGACATGGAAGGCTTACATTGGTTTGGTCCAAAAAAGCAAGACTCAAAGCGGGGGCTTACAGGTTATAGGTGGGTTTAAAGATTCTTTGATTTGTAATTGGTCAAAGAAATGAAGCTTTGTCTAAAGGCTTGGCATGTTTTAAGATAAAGATGTCTGTTCATCAGAGGTGAGCCACACCGTGATCTGTTAAGTAAATTGACGGCCTGTGGGTATGGTTTGAGCTTTGTCTTGCATAACTCGAAAAGGGAGGGGGCATACTAGGCGAGTCACACCTCCCTTCTCCTCATGGCCGGCAACTCAGCTTGAAGGTTTTTCTGGGGTCCCCTTGGCCAAGAAGGGGTCCATTTGGTCAGCTGGAGGGCTTAAGATTTTACTTCAGTTCACAGCAACTTAAATGGTCCTCCAGACAGAGAGGGCAATGCTTTATCCAGAGAAGTGACTCTCTGGGGGTGGACTGAGGCTGGGATGGGCATTTGTTAAGTTCGATGTCTGGTATCCCTTCCCCCCAACTTCCTTTTGGGGAATTCCCTCTGCTCCCATCTTAGGAGGGGAGAGCCAGGGATCTGATTCCAGCTATAACAGCAGGTGAGGCAGGCCCTTGCTCTCCAGGGAGCCTCAGCCAATCGGATGTTCTCTCTGGAACTCTGAGACATGGGGTAGAATTCGTATCAAAAGACACTCTTCACGGGCACAGCCTGCAGACTCTGTGTCCCAACCCCATGGCATTTACTTGGTTCCTGCCCTGTTGCCAAGACTGGTCCCACAGCTCCCCACCTTGTACCCTTATAGCAAATGACCCTTCGCTTAATTTTATTGCTTGCAACCCAAGAGTCTGGACACATATCCCTTTGAGTGGGAAGATGTTGGTGCAGGGAGGGGGCTTCCTCCACCTCAACATAGGACCACCCACTGTGACCAAGCCCATCCTCACCAGTTCCCTAGGGTCTCAGGCTCTGAGAGCAGAACTGGTGGGGTGACTGCATATCACCTCCCATCCCAGGGCTACATTCCTTCTTGCCTGGGCCTGCGAGACACACCCTTGGGTGAGGTTCTCTTTGAGCAGCTTGGTGTTTCCTGCCCTTGGGGCCTGCCACTCTCAGGCCTGGGAAAACTCACTTTCCTGGCAGGGATTCAAAGTCTGCACAGTCAGAAATGTCTCCTCAGAGTCTTATGGGTCACATGGGGTAGGGTCCCTGGTACAGATGAAAAAGCCAAGGCAAAATCCCCAAGGCAAGCTCCCCCAGGAGGAAAGAGCCCAAAGAGGGCACATGTGCAGGGCCCTTGGCACCCTGTTCTCCCCTCACAGCACACCCACCCCAGTGTGGGCCCTCGCCTCTCCTGGAGGAGAGGACAGGGTAAGAACAGGCCTGGAGATGGGAGAGAGAGTCTTGTTTCATCACTTCCCAGATAATAGGGAGCCACAGATGGTTAAGGGGGAAGGGAACAATGCGATTGGAGCTATTTATTTATTCATTCATTCCTGGCTACTTCCACTGTGCTGGGCCTGTGTCAAGGACTGATTAATAATGATGAATAAGACGGTCCTTGCCCTCCAGGGGGTCTTCAGTCCATGGCGTGAAGGTCGGGGGAGTCGAGTACACAAATAAGTTCAACATAGGGTGAAAGAAGGCGGTGTGGCGTCAAGCCAGCTCCCATCACCTCCCACCACACCCACTGCCACCAAGTCCGAGTCACCGTCTGCTTCTCCTAGATGACTGCCCCAGTTTCCAACCTGGCCTGCCCACTCTGCCCTCGTCCCCTGAAGCCTGTTCTGAGCCCAGCAGCCAGAGGGATCTTCTGCTCAAAACCCTCCATTGGTCCCCGTCACACTCCAGGTCAAAGGCAGAGCCCTCGACATGG